TTGTAGTCCCTACGAGCCGTTTTTGTAGGCATTAAACTGCCATTATTTTAAAAGATGATATCTCCATTTGCATTGAACTTTCCACTTCGTAACTTAGCAAATATTGTTTATGCTCAAACAGCAACATTACACACAAACTAACGTTAAAAAAGTGAAATCGCAATCAACCACCCCTTTAATGGAGAGCAGGGACGCTGACAGGGTCGACTTCCCCAACTCCCCAGTCTCTCCTAAGGGATTTGTTTGGTTTGGATTTGCCGAACGCTTTACAGTAGCTCAGAAGTCTTCACAGGTCATGCGTCACTTCCTGCCAAAATGATCCAGTTCAGAAACCGAAGCGATCCGAGCGGCTGCTTCAAGTCGCCAGAAGGCTCCATCTGCTCAGCAGTCTGCTAAAGCTGCGCCCTCAAAGACCCAGCCTCTTTCAAAACAAGAGCCTGGGCTTGCACAGCGCTTGCAGGCGGCGAAAAAGTACACATTTCCCAAGCGTCAAGGACCCCAGTGACGCTGGATCCTGAGCCTCAAAAGCCATCCTGATCAATATGCAGAGAGGAAGAAGAAAGAGTCATGTCCCACCGAGGCCGTACATCCCTCAAAGAAAGCTCGCTTCTGCTCTCCATAGCCTAGTGGGCGATGGAAGCTCTGTTCAAAGTGGACCCGCCCTTCAGTGCGTGCCCAACAAAATTACTGCTGTGATAGCAGACCCACATACTCAAAAGAGCATTTCTCCTCTTCTCACTACCTCGACTGTCAGTTCCCTGCCCCCGTGCGGCGACCTGTCAATCAAGAAACTCAGACCGCTTGCCATTCGGCTCCAGGAATGCTTGGAAAGCCATCCCGGATGTGTCAAGCTGGGTTGTAAAAAACACAGAACAAGGTTACTCGCTCCAGTTCGCTTGCAGGCCACCTCGTTTCAGAGTCATTATTCAAACTTCAGTACAGGACAACGATGCTCACGTTCTCGGGTCCACAGTACCGGAGCCTTTGTAAATCATCAAGGCGGCCTCAGGTCATGCTCCCTTCACAGGATGGCGTGATGCCTCCTTTTATGGGCACAGTGCAATCTCCTCTCGCTGAGAGCAGTTCATGTGCCGGGCAGACTAAACCAAGGAGCGGACATGCTGTCCAAGGGTAATGTAGTGCCAGGAGAATGGAGACTACATCCCCAATTGGTTCAAATGATTTGGGAAGGCAGAGGTAGACCTCTTCGCCTCAGAAGACAAATTTCACTGCCCAGTTTACTTTTTGAATCAGCGAGATGCCCTGGCCCACGAATGGCTCAGTTCAGGCTCTTAGAATGTACGTTGAGCACTCTGGCCCGTTTCGGCACTCAGAGCAACTCTTTGTATGCTTCGGAGGCCGCTCTAAAGGGCTGCCAGTTACGAAGCAGTAACTATCTCGCTAGTTGATGCTATAGCCCTGGCTTATGCCTTAGAGGGCTTACAGTTTCCTATCGGGGTGAG